TGAGCTGGGAGACTTCAGTAGTGTCAGTCTGAGCTGGAGACTTCAGTAGTGTCAGTCTGAGCTGGGAGACTTCAGTAGTGTCAGTCTGAGCTGGGAGACTTCAGTAGTGTCAGTCTGAGCTGGGAGACTTCAGTAGTGTCAGTCTGAGCTGGGAGACTTCAGTAGTGTCAGTCTGAGCTGGGAGACTTCAGTAGTGTCAGTCTGAGCTGGGAGACTTCAGTAGTGTCAGTCTGAGCTGGGAGACTTCAGTAGTGTCAGGCTGAGCTGGGAGACTTCAGTAGTGTCAGTGCTGAGCTGGGAGACTTCAGTAGTGTCAGTCTGAGCTGGGAGACTTCAGTAGTGTCAGTCTGAGCTGGGAGACTTCAGTAGTGTCAGTCTGAGCTGGGAGACGACTTCAGTAGTGTCAGTCTGAGCTGGGAGACTTCAGTAGTGTCAGTCTGAGCTGGGAGACGACTTCAGTAGTGTCAGTCTGAGCTGGGAGACTTCAGTAGTGTCAGTCTGAGCTGGGAGACTTCAGTAGTGTCAGTCTGAGCTGGGAGACGACTTCAGTAGTGTCAGTCTGAGCTGGGAGACGACTTCAGTAGTGTCAGTCTGAGCTGGGAGACGACTTCAGTAGTGTCAGTCTGAGCTGGGAGACTTCAGTAGGTCAGTGAGAATATCGTCAAGTATTCCAGCTACGGCAGTTTCAACATACTGGAGTGAGATATATGGGAGGAAGAGCAAAATAAACCCAGTTATAAGCAGGGGCGCCGTGGGCACAATAAGGGAACACTGTATCAACATCCGTCCTCCCAGACTAATATCTTACTAGAAGATATCAGAAACATGCTGGGACAAGTATCTGCACCAAGTGCCGGATCAACCAGGCTGTGATGGATATGTGGCTTAACGGGCCACCAACCTGGTTAACCAGGCAAGCATTAGACAAGCCTGGCCTAAGGACGGGCTCCGGGAGCAGAAAAACTTTTGAAACTCCTCGAAGATATATCAGCATAGCTGGAGTTGTGGGGTGGAGGAAGTTGTGAGGTGGGGAAAGTTGTGGGGTGGGGGAAGTTGTGTGGTGGGGGAAGTTGTGGGGTGGGGGAAGTTGTGAGGTGGGGAAGTTGTGGGGTGGGGGAAGTTGTATGGTGGGGGAAGTTGTGGGGTGGGGGAAGTTGTGGGGTGGGGGAAGTTGTGAGGTGGGGGAAGTTGTGGGGTGGGGGAATTTGTAGGGTGGGGAAAGTTTGTGGGGTGGGGGAAGTTGTGAGGTGGGAGAAGTTGTGGGGTGGGGGAAGTTGTGGGGTGGGGAAAATTGTGAGGTGGGGGAAGTTGTGAGGTGGGGGAAGTTGTGGGGTGGGGGAAGTTGTGGGGTGGGGGAAGTTGTGGGGTGGGGGAAGTTGTGAGGTGGGGGAAGTTGAGGGGTGGGGAAGTTGTGGGGGGGGAAGTTGTGAGGTAGGGAAGTTGTGGGGTGGGGAAGTTGTGGGGTAGGGGAAGTTATGGGGTGGGGGAGTTGTGGGGTGGGAGAAGTTGTGGGGTGGGGAAGTTGTGAGGGGGGGAAGTTGTGGGGTAGGGGAAGTTGTGGGGTGGGAGAAGTTGTGGGTGGGAGAAGTTGTGGGGTAGGGGAAGTTGTGGGGTGGGGAAGTTGTGGGGTAGGGGAAGTTGCGGTGTGGGGGAAGTTGTGGGATGGGGGAAGTTCTGAGGTAATGGAAGTTGTGAGGTGGGGGAAGTTGTGGGGTGGGGGAAGTTGTGGGGTGGGGGAAGTTGTGGGGGTGGGGGGGAAGTTGTGGGTGGGGGAAGTTGTGGGGTGGGGGAAGTTGTGGGGTGGGGGATGTGTGGTAAGGCGCTCTCTGGATAAGTGATGGAAGAGAAGGTTTTTGTTGGAGGAATAGGATGGATGGGGTGGGCGGTCCTTAACTCTGTGGGTGTCCCACACCTTACCTCTGTCCCCAGCGACCTGTCCCGCTGTCTCTATCATCTGAGAACCACTCACCTCACCACAGGTACTACCCCCTCCCTCCCTCCCTTCCTCTCTGTCTCTCTTTTTTTTTTTTTACACAGGGTTTGACACGGTTAAGGATCCCTAGCTTTATTGACAAGCTATTTACAGGTTAAGGATTCTTAACTTTATTAGCAAGCTAAGAACTGTTACCTACATCAGCTCATTTGAAAGCATTTTCATTATTATGAGACATACAAGTAGGGAACAGGATGAAGTTGGAGCCATCTGTGGGCCAGCATTTTCATTTGATCAACAGACTTTATATCGTTGACATCATTATGCTGTACGAATGTGTTCCATACTCGATCATCATGGAGTTATATAAGATCTCAGATGGAGTGATGTTTGAGAGAAGGGTACAGCCAGAGTGAAGTTGCTGACTTTTGCCCGTTTGTGCATAAAAGCTTGTCACCTCGCAGTCCTCGAAAGTGGAATCAAGTGTATTACGAAGAAGAAGAAGAAGAACATAAGAACGAAGGAACATGCAGAAGCCCAATGGTCCCACATGCGAGGCAGGTCCAAGTACTACCGGCTTAAGCCAATGCACCCCCCCTAGTCAGGTCAGGTCATCACTCGACATAAGGAGAGGAACACGGGCAACCGACGGTATCACAAGCTATCAGGTCTAACTCCACACCCACCACATCTACTATGTATTTATCAACTTATTTTTAAAGCTCACAACGTTCTGGCCTCTATAACGGTTTACTTGGGAGTTTGTTCACTCATCCACAACTATATACCAAACCGTACTTTTCCTATATCCTCCTGATTGAATTTTTCCAACTTAAAAACCATTGCTGCCGGAGTCTGTCAGCCTAGATATTTTCAGCACACTATTACATCCCCTTTATTTATTCCTGTCTTCCACTTATAAACAATCAATCTATATTCCCCCCTATTCTACGTTCTTTTTAGATGAGTTGCAGTTTCAGGGCCTTAGTCTTCCTCATGGGAAGGTTTCTGATACATGGGATCATCTTTGTCATCCTCCTTTGTAATTTTCCAGTGAATATATATCCTTCTGTAATACGGTGACAAAACTGTGCAGCTTAATCTAAGATGAGGCCTAACCAAGATGTTATAGAGTGAGAACAAACATGAGGACTCCTTTATTTATGCTTCTTGATATGAAAGCCAAGGGATTCTATTAAGCTTTATTGCGAACATTATGCACTGTTGTCTGGTTTCAGATTTACTGTAACCAGAACTCCTAAAATCTTTTCGCAATCCGTAATATTAAGTCTACATTCTTTAGTTTATATGTGGCATGGTTATTGTCCGGTCTACATTTTAGAACTTTGCATTTGTCTATATAAAACTGATCTGCCACTTCTCCGACCACTGCATCAGTCTATTCAAATCTTAATGGACGTGCTCGAATGTCTCGTCAGAATGGAATTCGACGGCCTATTTGGTGTCTCGGCAAACTTGCCGGATGTCGCTCTTATGCCCTCTTCTATGTGTTTATGTAGATTGTGAACTGCAGGGGGCCCACCTGACCCCTGATGGAACACGCTCGTTGACCGCTTCCACACTTGATTTCTCCCCATTTATGCAAACGCTCTGCTGCATAATTTGTCAACCATGCCTCTATTCAGGAAAAAATTTCTCCTTCCGATTCCTTGTGCTTTAATTTTCCTCATAGTCTCTGATGTGGGACCCTGTCAAAAGCCTACTGGAAGTCCATATTATCCACAATATCATATTCGTTACCTGATCTACCTCCTCAAATACTTACGTGAAAAAAAGTTAAATAATTCGTAGGCAGGTACGTCCTTTGTTAAAACCTTGCTGAGATTCGTGATTAATTTATGCTTTTTCAAGGTGGCTACCGTGGGATAAAAAAAATTTTTGCTCTCGGCAATTATTGATTCCTTTAAATTGTCCACTATGGAGGTTAGGCTTATTGGGCTATGTTCGAGCTAAGGACCTGTCACTGTTTTGAAAATAGGTATCACATTTGCCATTTTCCACTTATCTGGCACCATGCAGTTTTGTAGTGATATGTTGGAAAAGATTAGCAAAGGTGTTGCTAAGATCCTCTGTACATTCTTTAGAACCCTTGCATACAGTTTTCTCAGGGCCTGGGGATTTGTTAGGTTTTAATTTATCTATATGCCCTAAGGACAATGTCACTTGTGACCCATATAGTGCAAAGTTTATTATCGTCTGTTCTCAATAATTTAATCATTACTGGAATAACATGGTATCCTCCGTGTAAAAGACTGCAGAGGGAAGTATGTTGTTAAAAATTCAACACATTTCTTATATCACTGTCAGTGAGCTGACCGGGAACTTTTGAGTGGGCCTATCTTGTCCCTGATCTTACTTCTGTATACTGAAAGGAATCCTTTTGGGTTAGTCTTCGATTCTCTTGATCTTTAAACTCATAATCTCTTTTTTGCTTTTCTAATTCTTTTTATTTCTCTCTTTTACTGAATATATGATTCTAATTTGCCCCTCTCCTCTTTTGATTTGCCTATATATGCCCTCTCTTTTGGACCAAATCAGATATTTTAATCTATTGTCATCCATTTAGGATCATTTTGTTTGATTCTGATTTCCCTATTTGGAACATAATTTGACTGAGCAGCTAGCAACTATGCCCTGGAAAAGCATCATATATCGGCAAACCAATTCACCACCTACCTGACCCCTAGTAGGTCATTCCAGTTTCAGCCCACCTAAGTAATTTTTCAGTTCCTATGAAATCAGCCAAGCGAGAAGACTGGGACGAGAGATTGATTGCCTTTATTAGGGGAATTCCATGATATGTTAAAAAACTGAGTGATTTGTAGATAACTCTCCCCAAGCTCATCATTAACCTCAAGATTATTAATTAGTGTTCTATGGCAAGGAACAAGAAAGGAGGTTATTTCCCTAGTTGGCTCTGTCACAAACTGTTTTAAAAACATTCCTGGGGATCGTATCCAAGAAAGTTACCGACTCTAATATCGTTCCTGTCAAATTGCTCCAGTCATCTGTTCTTAGTTGAAAGTTCTCCCATTAGCACAACATTTTCGTATGTAGATGCTACCGAATTTCGTCCATAGATGTTACTGCACTCCCTATCAAGATTTGGGGCCTGTACTCACACCCAAAATAGTTTTTCTCGGCCCTCGAGAAGCTTGTAACCAAACAGATTCAGTGTGACGCTTCTAATTTACTATCTTGTTAACACAAAATTTAAAATTTCTCTGACAGACATCGATATCTCCACCTTTCCTGTTGACCTGGTCAGTGTGGAATAATTATAGCCTTGTATGTGACTTTCAGATGGGCATCTCTCTGTCTTTCAGATTGAGCCAGGTCTCTGTTTAGCAATAATATCTATGGTTTCCTGCACTTGCATATTAATCTTAGCTCATCCTATCTTATTTCTAACACTCCTGCTTTAGTATAGTAAACCTTAAGGGAGCCTAGGTCCTTGCTGCCCTCTGCTGTCCCCTTGTTTTCTGACTGTTCTATTGTCTTTATTTATAACTTCATTTGCTGAATGCCTTTATACATTTATGTTTCAAACCCTAGTGTTGCAAACCTGCTTGTTTCCACACACCACCATACCTCTATCTTCCATCAGTTTTAATAAAAAAATCATAGGCATTTTCACCAATGGCCTTCTCAATCGAGTCTGGCAAGTGCTACCACCCCTGCCCAGAGAGATGAACCCATCCCCTTGGCATACATATCATGTTTGCCATAAAAAGGTTTTTGGTTTTTTTTTTGTCCAGTTTGTCAATGAATGGGATGCAAGTTCCTTGCAGTTCTGTTAGCCAGCAAATTTACACCAAATTGCTCTAGACAACCATTCATTTCCTATCCCCTTCTAGCAAGATGCTACATCTGATTGGATCCCTCCTTAGACTTAATGAAATCTATAGCTGACCTGTAATTATCTAGCAGCTCTTCTCTCCTACCCTTCCCAATTTTTTTCCACCAGCCACTGTGACATATAAGGGCTTGTTCCATTACCTGACATGATATTATCCGTCTGTGACAAATGTTCCCAACACCAGCTCCAGGGAAGCACCACTCTATCTCTCATTTTCTTATTCCTATTTCAAAAAGCACGGCTCAAAATATCTTACTGGAGAGTCACCAACCACAAGAATGGCTTACCTTCATTAGCAGGGGCAGTAGTACCCTTACCTTCACTGGCCACTGATGTACATTATCGGAGAAAGAGAAAGCGATTTCTACCTTCAGATCTTCACTCTTACTTTCCTACTCTGATGCGCCTCCATTACTGTGAACAACTCGCCATCGTAGTGTAGCAGGTGCTGGGCTGCACCTCACTGTGGTACCGTTGCTACCTCCCACCTACCAGCTCCTCACAGTGAGGAGACAGACTGCACCTCACTCTAGAAAGCCTCATTCCCCCACATCTCCAACCACCTCACACCACTCTCCCAGGCCCATTGAGGGTGGACCTTCAGCCTCCTATCTCTCACTGGAGAGAAGCAAGACCTCATCCTTCAACTCTCCAAACTCAGTTTTTTAAAAACATGCAGAAGCAAGCATGCTTTGTAACCGGCCACGCAATCCCCAAAGCAGTGCTCAGGGTCTGTGACTCACGTGACGGAATGACCACTGACACTTTGACAATATTGGCCCTGTTTGGAAATGACAGATCTACTCCAGGATGGGTCCAGGCGAGAGATGGACGTCGCTGTGTTTCTCGCAGATGAGAGGTGGGGGAAGCAAGCCAAGAAAGTGGAGCATACTCAAGGTGTGAGGTACTGGTTGCTCGTACAGGAATCTTGCAACACCTATGTTCAAGCAGATGCGTGATTCGGCCGAAGTGCTGTAAAAGCTTCCTGGACTGCTTGTTTGCAAGATTTACTACATGGTTCTTCTAGAGACGATCATCATTTGCGTTTTCTTAGGCGCAAATATTACTTGCCATCTATTTCCCCAAGCTGTATAGCTTTTCACTGGTGATTGATTTAGCTTAGAGCAGCTTTGGGATTTCTTCTCTTGGATAAGTGAATGTCAGTGTACAGTCGTCCGCATATGCATGTGATTCTGGGGTGAGATGAAGAAGGTTTGTTGAAGTAGACATTCCCTAACAATGGTCCCAGTACGTTTCCTTGTGGAACACTTCCCCCAATAGGATGTTTGCTGATTCTGTTTTTTTTAGAACTCACTTAGAGATCCCAAAGAAGGTAACCCTGAGGGCCCATGGGCTTTGAGCCTCCAATTCCCTTTGTTTGAAGTTTTGCTAAGGGGCCCCTGGTCCCCACACCCGGCCCCGAAAGCCCCCAGAAAAGGTCCATTTCAAACAACAGCTACTTTGGATTCCCCGGGAACGGGTTTCCCACTTAGTGGAGGGGGTTTAAAAACAGATACGGCAGAGAAACCCTTTCCTGAAGAAATATTGACGATCACAAATTTAGTGAGTGGTGGTCAAAAAAACTCGTCATTTCTTTTCCTCTCTCTCTCTCTCCTCTCTCTCTCTCTCTCTCTCTCCTCTCCCTCTCCTCTCTCTCTCTCTCTCTCTTTTCTCTCTCTCCTCTCTC